GAATTTTGGCAGAAGTTTTTCTTCAAATGTAGTTTCTCTATTATTTCCATTTCTTCACACATCATTCCATAGCAATAAAATGGAAATGTAAAATGCAGAGAACTGTAAAATACCTTTCTTCCAGTCTGACGGTGACTTGCTGCAAGATCTGGACTGCCTGCTTATGATACTCCAGCTGGGCCTGCACGAGTGCAGAGAGCTGGCTCACCTGTTCGATCTGCAGATTGATGAAGGGAAATCATGCCTTAGTTACCACATTACTGTCCTTAAGCAGCTACTACTGTCTGGCACATATGATGCAGCAGCCCCTGACATACAGCCTAGTGCTCAGTGATGCCCATGGCCATGTGGTGAGCCAGGCTAGGACACACAGTTTTAGGACAAATCAATTAAGGATAAGAAAGCATCCTTATGCGTGAAAATTCCAGTACCATTAGGAGAAGCAACATTATAATACTCCTGAGGATTACATAACTCTCATTGAACAATCTCCTGCTTAGCTGGAACATTAGGATTTGGCTTATTTTATTTATTTCCTATAGGAAAAACATGTATTGCCCAAAGGATTCACTGTGCCCTATATTTTTCATGCTAAGTCAATATTAGTGCTATTAATAAAAATGTGAATATTGATTTTTCAAATGAGGCACCAAGGAGGCAGCGTGGTATGAGGGAAAATCTTTTTCCTCTCTGAGCCTCATCTGTAATGTAAAGGGGTTGGGTCAAGTGACATTTGGGTTCATTCTAACTCTAATATTCTAAGAATCCTTGCTACCCTTATTTTGGATCTTGAGTTGTGATCTAGCTGACTAGTGGCCTCCAAGTCAACAGAGGCAATGCTTTGGGGAGGGATGCAGCCCTGAGTGCAGGAAAGGAGCACTGTGATTCAGGTCACCCCTCATTACAAAAGCATTCCTCTTCAGCAGGTAGGTGGACAAGTTGTTTGTTTTACATACACACAAACACAAACCTACACTGTCTCCGGGTAGTGGGAAAGTCTGGATATGATCAGCATGCCTTCCGTGTCACCAGTCAGGGCAAAGCAGTTAAGTGATAAGTACATAAAGGCTCTGCAAACATGTTAGCAGAAGTTGGTCAGTAACTGATGGAACAGGATGGGGGTTGAGGAAGGACAGGGAAGCTGGTTAACAGGTTTTATGACATGAGTAGTTGGAATGTAACTTCTAAAGCCATGAATAATAATTTAGTACTCTGGAAATGTGAAAGCAGCTTTTAAACTATCTCATCTGTGCCCCAAATGTAGTATCTGCTACAATCATCAATCTCAATTGAAATTACCTTTTAAAAAAATGTCAACTTTACTTCAAAAATACAGAACATCTTAACCTATGTTGGAAACTCGCTTCTGAATGCATTTTAGTTGATTTTGTTATTCAGTCTGAAGTCAATCTGCCCTGCATTTCAACAGAATATTTTTTTTAGCTATTGGACTGATGATACATGGATCAGAAACATTCTTTATCTCCCCACTACTGGTAATACTTTAAGATCATAAGTAGACAAAAATGTAGTTAAATCAAGTTACAGGAATACAGGGACAAAAACTTTATCATTTCTCATTCTATTTTATAATTTCAAATTCTTTAAAAGAAATAACCATCTACTGAAGTTCTCACCACATAGCGTGATCAGATATTAACGTTTTTAACTACCTAACCATTTAGCACATTAGTCTTGTGCCTCAATGGCAAGAATCATTTGAAAACCACAGAAGAGTAACTCACATCCATCTCCAAGAGATTGAACATGCTTGACTCAGCAATTTCTTTAGACTCATCAAATTTCTCCAGAGCTTGACGAAGCTCTTCATCTGGAATCTTGCCTTGTCGTTTCTTCTTATAATCAAAGTCCAGGCGTCGACCCTCCAACTTCTTTAGATGATGCTAAACAAGTCAAGAGCAGAAATATGCTTTGAAAGGACTCACAGAAAAGTCATGTTTACAGCTCACTTCCACATCATGCCTATTATCTTCCAAAATAAGACAAGTTAAGTTCTTAAATGTTACATCGCCAGAAAAATAAAGGAACATGCACCAGTGGGGCAAATGCTTCCAAAGGCCAAATGTGGGGAAATGTCTTTAAAAATAATTAAGAGCAAGAAATAAATTGTGGGAAGTATAAGTTCTCTTTATTTGCTGAGACAAAGCCAAGCTGGAGTACGCCTTTTCCTTCCATCACAGAAGCTGGGAATGTGTATAGATGCCCCACACATGTGGAAAACACAGGCATGTCAGGCCCACTAGTCCCCATCTTCAGAAGAAATGGTATCTCATGAGAAGGCAGGAAAAAACACTTTCCTTGAAATGAAATGAGAAAGAATGGCATTCTTACTTTTTGAAATCACAGAGTATTAGCGCTAGAAAGGACTTATCTTTAAGGTAATCCAATCTGTTAGAATGACTTTATTAATTATTGCTTATTTAAAATATGGATTTCTGATCATCTAAATTAGAATATTCAGGGCCATGGCCTAGGCAGCTATATCTTAACACTTATCCTGGTTGACTGAAGCCGCTTTCAGGGAACATTGATTCGTTCAAGTCTCTCATTCAACACTCAGTTACAAAACCTAACTTGGAAGGAACCTCAGAGGGGGCCTAATGCCCCGCATTTCACTTCAATCCCTCCTTGCATCATCCCCACCACATGGCCATCCAGCCTCTGCCCTAAACCTTTCATAACCAAGTGGAGCAACAGTTTCCTAAAGCAGTAACGTATTATATCCTAAGATCTGCAGTATTCTACTACTAATGGGAGAGAGAAAATGCTGGGTTTCCCTTGATTCTAGGTGTATATAGAAAGAGAAGGAGATGAAATTGAGTTGGGAGTGGTAAAGAAACGAGCAGGAAAGGAAGAAGAAAAATATCCTAGACCTTCCCTCCCACTCCACACTCTGCCTCCAATCCGTGCTCTGATCCAAGCTAAATGCTTGTTCCTTTGGAAGGTATATTCTTGTAAAACATCTGAACTTGCAGTCAGCTGTAGAGCACAGCAGTGGAGTAAGAGTTACATTTTAAGTTTAGAGTGAGTCTGCCCCTTACTAACTGTGCAACCTTGATCAAGTGGTAGGGCTGAAGGAGATTTAAGCTAGAATAAGGAGATCTAGAAGATTTAAAGTTATGACAGTCCATTTCACAATAAAGGAAACTAAATTTCAGACAGGTTCAACAAATATTTGTTGAAGGAATGAATAAACAAACATTACACACCTAGATAGACTTAAAGCCAGTTGAACTTTATTTGGAATAGTGCAACTGTTCTACGTGTTTTAGAAAGAGAATAGTTGGGTATTCCTCCTCAATTTTAACGACTGTTATGAAAATATAAAAATGTGTTATAGAGTGATGGAATAACTATTTAAGCTAATAATTGGTATAGCTAGCATTTTAGAGGGTGAACTCAGCCCAGAAAACCATAGAATAATTAATAAAGTTATGTATTATAATGGAAAGAATATAATCCTTCTAGAGAGAAAAAGCTTAAAAGATCTTGAAAATTCAAAGTGGAGAAGTCAAATTTAAATTCATGAGTCATAACAGTAAGGCCAAAAGTACTGCATTTCTGGCTTCTCTCAATTTATCTTGAACTTTTTTGCAATTCACATGCCCAGTACTGACGACATACATGGTAAGCTTAAAAAACGTTTTCTAAAGGAAAATGACACCTGCATCTGCTGTAGGATTTAAACTGTCTACTTCCCAAAGGACTAGATGCAGATACCTGAATCTCTCTCAAATCTTTGTCATGAAGATTCTGAAGGGGGTCAATGAAGTTCTGCTTCACTTCCATATCCAAAGAGTCTTTCACCTCCGAGAGCTCCCGCATGGCCTCCCCCACGTCACCGAGCGCTGGGCCTGGAAGGGGAGAATGAAGCCCTTGCATGTTAAGAACAGAAGTAAAACACATTTGCAATGATAGGTCCCATTACAGAAAAAAACCTATGGATTACCATCTATCTTCTGAAGACAACCAAGATGAGAGACAGTATTAAATACTCTCCAGCAAACAGTGTACTTTCTACCTTAGACAGTTCATATCAGCAACAGACTCAATGACCCCTAAGGGGGTATGTCTCTTATAAAACTTTGCTTTTCCTTTAAAATGCAATTTGGGAAGCTCCCTGCCCTCCCTTGTAATTATCAGCTTTCCCTGATAGTGACCTGCTTAAGGCCAATACATGTAGCAGAAGCAAATATTAGGGACAGAGAGCAGGACTCAACCATGAAGGATGGTCATTTACTAAGACCTCACATCACAAGGGGATGAAACAGTGTTTAGTATGGTAGCTGAGGGTCAGAGGAGAGAGAGGTGAAGAAATAAACTGTATCTCACCCGCAGTGGCAGAATTAGGTACCACATATGAAAGAGCTAAGAGAAAGCTCGTGGGGCAGGGTGTTGAATCATGCTCATTGTGACTATTATCCAGTTATTGCCAGACATACTCAATAGTAAATGTCCAGGCATCTGGATATATCAACCAGCTACTGTAAAGACTGGAATCTCATCAAGGAAAAAGAAAGTAAATAAAACCTCTACAACATACCATACACACTAGAAATGATGAAACAACTCTGACAATAAAGTTTTGGTCCAATTGTGCAAGACCTAAAACTGAGAATCAAAATATAAAATGGTTTGAGCAATTTTCTAGTTTCTTTCTGGCACTAAAATCCCCACGGACAAACGAAAGAATTAAAATCTGAGAAAGCACTCTTCACCAAAGTTGCAATCGTCTCCAAGCTCTCTTCCAAACTTGAGCATGGCCTCTGCGAGCAGCGCTTCTGCCTGAGGATAGCCTGGCCCTTTTTCCTGGCCACGGATTTTTGACATGGTGTTGATCATGCTGAGTTTAGCTCTGGAAGCTGAAGGCAAAAGGAAAACAGGATCTCAAAGTAGGCAATGTGTTAAAGCAGAAACAAAGCTGGAGGGTGAATCAGGCCTTAACTGGTCTATAAATTAGCTCAGCTAATGAAAGCCGCACCTTTACCTTTCTCGCTTCAAAATTTTATGAGAAATTTAGCAGAAAAGGTACCAAAAAAAAAAAAAGCTCTTTGGGGTGATGATCTCACCCTCATATGCTCTCCATACCTTACTATGTTCTTTCTGGTCCTTTCTTCATTGTGGTGGCCCGGGCTAAGCCTTTGTGGAGCAGGGTGGAAAGCATTTTGAAAACTACCTGATTATGTGACCTCTAAGTTTTAGGATTCTAGCTTTGTATTTCAATTCTACGAGTCTGTAGACTAAAGCAGGAAACTTAATTTTTACAGCGTGGGCCTAATGCCATATTTCATTTACACCGTATATAAAATAGAACTATTTTATTTTTTTAAATTAATTAATTTATTTTTAATTCTTTAATGTCACCACATATTTGACCCCTTTTACCCCATCTATCTTCCCCCTCCCCTCTCCCCTCTGGTAACCACTAGTCTATTGTTTCAACCATAAGAAGAGATGAAAATAGAACTATTTTAAAAATCACTTCTCAACTAAGGTTCTGACAGTAAACTGACCCATGAAGAACAGAAATATTGTGTTCATTAAAAATACTTAATCACCTCTCTAGTACATACTGCATCTGAAAATTAGTTCTTTGCCACAAGACGGCATTTCAACTTCTTTTTTGCTTTTATTTTTATAAAAGAAGATGCCTAGAAAACAATTTCAGTTTTCAAAGAAGAAACTGTTTTATGAATATACTGTTAAAGCTAATGATTTACTTGATGCTAGGATACTTGGGTTCCTCAGGTTAATTATTAGAGCTGGGACAGTACATTAACCTAAGACTGTGCCCAGGATCCCTTCAGTATGGAAACCCGAGAGAATCACAGCTAAAGGCACGTTCGGCATCCAGTGGCTGACATTTGATCTTGAATATTTGTTTCAAATAGGCTTTCATTTCAACTTTGGGCTTCAAAGGTCGAGAATGGCGGTGAGGAGAGTTATCATAAGAGGGCCCCTCTCAACCCTGCACCAGGCATATTACAATGAACAAGACAGTATGGCTCTGCCTTTATAAAGTTTATAGTGAACTGAGGGTTCACTATAGGGTTTAATAGCATCTATTTTAAAAACCATTAGAATGAAGTGTATGTACTACGTGTCATTCAAGGGCATTGCAGTGAGTCACAGAGGAACAGTATCACTCTCATCTGTGGGGGTGGGGCACTGCAAAGAAATATTCCAGAGAGAATTACCTTTAAGCTTAGAATCACACAGTGAGTAGCAGTTAGTCATGCTAAAAGCAATATGCAAAGCCTGGTGATAACCAGAAAAAACAAAATTCAATTTTCTTTACTCTGCTTTTCATAGAAAAGGGATCATATGTGCTAAATTTCAAAAACTGAAAATGCCACATGATCACACTTTTTTTGTGGAGACGATAATCATTAGAGTATATTTTCGAAGATTTTTCTACAATAAGCCATATCTGAGATCCAGGAAAGACCCAGTCCCTGCCCTCAAGGTGCTCACAGTATAATGAAGCATCAGATAAAAACAGACAGTGGCAGCAAACATGATAAATGCAATGATAGCTAATATGCACAAGGTACTGGGGGGACACAGAGAAAAAGTAACCACAACACAAATAACAGTGAAATAAGCAAAAGAATTTAAATGAAACAAAATTTAAAAATCAATAGAACTGTCGATGATAAAGTTGAAGCAAATCCCCCCAAAAGTAAAAAAAAAAAAAAAGAAAAAAAATTCAGAAAGCACAGATTGGGCCAGGTTTAGCAGCTGAAAATGGAAGTTCCAAAAAGGAAGAACACAGAAAAGAAGGGGAGGAAATTCTTTTTAAAAGAATTTCAAGAAATTCAAGAAAAGTTCAAGAAAATTTCCCGGGACTAACAAACATGTGTTTCCAGATGCAAGAATCTACTGTACATCCAGCACTATGGATAAAAGGGTCCATACCAAGGACTATTAATATGAAATTTCATAAAACTGGGGACAAACAGAAGTTCCTAAAACCTTACAGAGAGAAAAAAAATAGGTTACACATAAAATGAGAAAAATGAGGTCAATATTAGAAAACCATAAACATGAGAAATTGCCTTAGAAAACAATGGAGCAATGACTCCAAATTTCTTACAGAAAATAATCTACAATTCTTTATTCAAATTACCATTGAAGTATAAAGGTAAAATAACGATAGTTTGAAATACACAGGAAGGTCTCAATTTATTTTTTTCCCAGGCTAATGGAAGAGGCGTTAATCAAGAAAAGGGACAGGTACAAATCTAGAAAAGGGAATCCAGTATAAGAAAAGAGGTGAAAATGACAAAGGGAGACCTCATGATGGCCATTATGGATCAGGCATGGAAGCCATGTGTAGCTGACACAACACACAACCAGATATGTGCAGCTCAGGTAGCCATGAGCTCTAAGGGAGCTACAGGTTCCCTATGTCCTCCAGTGAGATCAAGTAATAGTTATCCACCACTGTATCTTTCTTTGTAATGTCTCCTTCACTAGCCTCCTCTTCTTCCCTACTCTCTCAACAGGGTTTCCTGGAATCACCTCCCAAATCAACCACATGTGCTCTAACTCTTGTCTCATGGTTTGCTCTTGGGGAAACCCAAACTAAGACAGCAACCAATCCAGAACGCAGCATCGGATATCTCAAAGATACTGAATACCTGATGGTTTTCAATGTATTGAGAGAAAATTCATATGTGTGGCAGGGGGTCTGGGAAAGAACTGGTGAAACATACATAAAAAGTTTTAAAAAATAAAAAATAAAGCAATGATTAATTCCAGGAAAAAAAAAAAGGTTATATAAAAGGAAATATAGTATTATCTAGGTCTCAGCTTTGTAAAAGTTTACAAGGGCATAAAATATAAATTTTTGAAGAGACTCACTTTTATACATACTAGTGAAATGCGAGAGAAAAAGGGTGTTGAATAATGGGAAGACAGGAAAAGAGCAAACAATTCTCATCTTCCAAACAGGAATCAAGCACAAAACACCTAAAATTGGAAAACCAAGGAGCAATATAAGCATGTCGATGCAAGATTAGAAGTAAAAACTAAAGAAACAGCCAAAAGGGTTTTGACAGTGTTGCTTCCGGGGCATGCAAATAGGGGAAGGAAGGCAACTCCAGGGGGACTGCTGTTTTTTTTTTTGTAAAAAGCTTTGTAAAACTACCTAATTTTTATAATATGTGCATGTATTACTTCCATTATACAAAACTAAATTGAAAGCATTTCCCATTTCTTTTTTCCTCAGAAAAACTTAGTGGCTAACCTGGATAAACAATTCCAGGTATCTTGACATTCTGGGTGCTGCTCTAATGTCATGGGTCTTTCAACCAAAAAGCTCTACTAAAAAATATGTCCACTGGTGTAAAGAGAATTAGCTGGGAAGAGAAAAGTTAATAAGCATTAACAAGTGAAATTCCATCAGAAAATGCCACCAAAGGAAAGGGCTCGACGAGTCCACAGCTAGGTGATTTTTGTTAGAAAATGTATCAGGTGAATTTAAACAACAGGAAGTGAAATTAGGATGACCATAAAAGGCTGATTTATTAAAAAAAAAAAAATGACTCCTATTGTTTTGTCCTCTACTAAAAACAGCAGTTTCTTTTTTGGCTCCCAAATCTATGCTTTCTTTTAAGTAAGACAAACAGGGGCAGCCAAGGCTCAATCTAAAATCATCTGACGCACTTCTTAATTCTGGACACAGCCAAAGGGAAGTCTAAGCTCTGCTGGGAGTGAAACAGAAGCTGCTCACTCTGCCCACAGAGTTATTTCCCTGAGACCTAAAAACGATGTCTGTGTGAGTCATGGCTCAGTCTCTCTCCTAAGGCTGCTTATCTAGTGTAGTAACCAGCTGGGAATGCTGAAAACTCAGCACTTATGCTAAATCGTAGTTTTTAAATTTTCTACTCCTTAATCCAAATGAACGAACAGGAAAACAGGTCTTATCTTTCACGGAAAGCAGCACAGTGCGTTAAAAGTAATGCCAGCTTTAGGCTAATGCAAACAGAGGTAAAAAATCCAGGCTCCAATTCTTGCTAGCTGTATATCCCTAAAAAATTTCTCATTCATAAGTGTGTTATCAGTATCCAATGATAAAGAGCAAAAAGACAGACAACAGAGAGCGGAGACAGGAAAAAGCACTCCTTTCTTCCCTTTCCACGTTCTCTTTCCTGTGAGTGTCTGTGCTGGAGTGCTCTACTATCAACTTGGTTATATGGGGAACTACATTTCCCAGAATCCCTTCCCCACATTTCCCAGTTAGAATTGGTGCAAAGTGAGGCTGTGCAAGCTTTGGGAGGCAAAAGGGAAGCAGTGAGTAGCCTTAACACTCCAAAAGCTGTCACCGGTTAAAACAGGTGAGAGACAAATGCAGAGGTACAAATGGGTTCCAGCTTCTTTTGCTCTTCCTTACTCCGTATCCAGCTCACCTTCTTAAATGCTCGTTGTACTGACTGACAGTGATCCCAGGCTCTCCATAGACCTTAGGTTGCAAACTTCTGAGGTGGTAACCTTGAAGAGCCAACAACTTTCCATATCCTTCCTACCAGTGTCCTCTGGGACCTGTCTACCTTCCTAAGTTCATTCGCCTGGGCCAGGACTGAGCAGTGATCTTTCTGATTTTTCATTGCCACTCTTTTTGGCCTTCATTCATCCAGATCTTCCCACAACTGTAAAAGCTCTAATTCCTATAATAAATTTCTTATTCCATAATATCCACAATGGCTTTGCGTGTCCTGATTAAATCCTGACTGACACAGTGTTTGATGGTCTAGTATCTCAACTGACAAAAAATTATGATCTATTCTTGATAGAGCACTCAAAGTGAGTCAATAAAACTGACTATAAATATTTCAATTCTACAAATTTATACTTTCAG